TGATTAATCATAAAATAAAATGAAATTATCACAAATAAAAAACAAGAAGACCCCATAACCATTAACTCAGTATCTTTCTCCTTTCTGTAATACCCTTTTTCTATCATCTTCTTCCAATATTTCAAACAATAACTTTAATTTAGCTTTAATTTATAGTGGTTTAGAGGCTTTAGGAATTTAGGAAAGTTGTAATGTTGTCTGTAATTATGTTTGTACAATTCAAATTGTTTCTGTATTAATCTAATTTTGTAATGATAATAATGATTTTGTGTTTATGATTCTGAATTTGTTTCTGCATTTGCGTTGATTTGCAATAAGTTTTGATTTTTGATTCTATTTTTGTGTTGTAAGGAAAGATTTTTGGTTTTAATACTGGATTCAAAATTGATTTGTTTATAATTTGGTTTTTATTAGTGTTAATATATTTATGCATTTGTTTGATTTTGTTCTTGTTTTGATTTTATAGCTCTTAGGTGTTGTAAATTAGGAAGTAGATAAATTTGTCTGTAAATTAGTTTTGGAAACAATGAAATGTGTCTGCAAATTAATTCTTAGAATTGATTGAGTTTTATGCCTTAGGAAATATTTTGAACTTTTTGTCTGTAATTTAAGAGCTTTGCAAAAATGTTTCTGTTTCTCTAATTGATTTTTTTTCCGCAGGTACAAACATGAGTTTATTACTTATGATTCGTACAGCAAAAATAAACACGTGTTGCTTGCTTTTATTTTATTCATACAGAACCTATTATAAAAATAAACAACATGTGTTCCTTATTGAATTGGGCCATACGCTTAATTCAGATTTTGTAAAGCCCACACACTCATTCTTCTTATAATACACCCCTCTCTTAAACTTGAAACAAATTTTAAGACTTAATCGACCATCAGATATTGATGGTCTATTTTACATCAACACACCCCTTTGACTTTAAATATCCCTATAAAGGTGAAAACTAAATGATAAAATTTATTTGAAGAAAACCCTAGATTAGGGTGGGCAAATTTGGGGTATGACATTCACATTTATGAATACAGAAATGTTGCGCTTCAAAATTTATTTTCAGTCTGATTACCTACATTTGAAGGAACACATGGAAAAAATTGCAATGTCTGTTATAGAAATTATTTATCACCATCCATTATTTTATGGAGACGATGGTGGCGTATTTTACGTAATGAAACTTATAGAAAACGCCGATGATGTCAAATCAATGTTCCCGTGTCACAACTTTATGCGTGAGATAAGAGACAAGGAGTTGCACAAAACACTTGTCAACATGGGTAATAATCTACATTCATGCGTTGACAGATGCAACATTTAATATTAGTATTTTTTGCTTAACATTTTTATTACAGGATATGTGTTGACGGATGTAACATTTAATTACTATCGAGGCGAAATACAAAGATCAGATAGGGAGGCTCTGAGATGGATATATAATATTCCCCGAGAAAAGTGGGCAAGGGCGTATGACGGAGGATCACGCTAGGGACACATGACAAGTAAACCGGCGGAAGTAATGAACTTCGTACTTAAGGCTACCTGAAACCTTCCCATCACTGCTCTAGTTCAGGCTGCATACTATCGATTATGATCGCTCTTTGGTAAATTAGGTCATCAATGGACAAAGATGTTAGCATCTGGTCAATCTTTTACAGATAGTTGCAATAAATGAATGGCTGAAGAAGTGAGTAAAGCTAGTAGTCATAACATCATGCAATTCGATCGCGAGAAATTCTATTTCATCGTGGTCGAAAGAATTAACTAGAACGGTGGTCGATCATTAGGTACTTTTAGCTTTGATCTCAGGAAGGGGTTGTGCGATTGTGGAAAATTCAAGCATTTCATTTTCCTTGCTCCCATACTATTGCAGCATGTGCTAGTATACGCCAAGACTACACAATTCACATAACAGGCGTGTTCAAGATTATTAATATTTTTAAAGTCTACCATGAAAGCTTCCTTGGTCTTCCACACCAGGAAAACTGGCCACAATATGGAAGCTTTACCCTTTGTCATGACGAGACTATGCAAAGGAAGAAGAAAGGACGCCCAAATAGTACTCGAATAAGAACTGAAATAGACAATATTGAAAAAGAAAAGAGAAGGTGTGGGATCTGTCGCGAAATAGGCCATATGCATAGAAAATGTCTAAATGTAGCAGGCCCCTCTAATAGGCCATAGTGTTCTCATCAACATCTTAGCTATGTAATATCATGTCTTTCTAATTCAATTTTCATTTCAATTTTAAAAAATAACATTCAAGTACAACGAAATAAAGACAACCACTAAGAAAACAACAACAAGATACACTAATAAAATGACTTAACACGTCAAAATATCTAGGAGATTACAACCATCAACACAATATCGACTGATGTTACCATCATCATAAGGATACCAGTGTCATTTTCATAGTTTTCTAGGAACGAGTTGCTCCATTTGGGCCAGACACCGTCACCTGCCTCTCAATTTTTCTAATCTATTCACAGTCAAGAATTTCTCTCTCAAACCAGCGGGTCAAGTGCCTCTGCAAATGCTCGAAGGTCTGCGTGTTCCAAAGTTTGATCTTTATCAGAGGCTTTGTTTGCAAAAAATAAGGTCAGCATCTCTTTTGATAAGTGGAACGTTGGAGGCGTGACTGAATACATATTTAAGATTGAAGTGGAGATATTGGTGGTAACTGATGTGAGAACCTAATGAGCAAACAATCTTAATTATAGCGAAAAAATTATTAAAATTTTAGTCAGTTCGCCCAATGGATGGCTGACCATGCTATAAAATTACGGCAACATGAAACACTGTTATCACTACTAGAAAATTCGTTATTAGTGACCGAAAAATTTCGATCACTGTAGCGACCGAATAAGCCACAAAAACTTGTATTCATGAGTCAACCGATTTAGCAACTAAAATTTTGTGACCGCCTATTCGGTCACGAAAAAATGTTTCTATATAAAATTTAATTTATATATAAAAATCAGAGACCAAAATTTCAGTCACTAATTTATTTTTGTTTTTTTCCTATTTTTTAATCCTCTTTATTATGTTACTATCTCTCTTCCAAATTTTTTAAAGATTTTAATTCTCTTTTGATATATAATTTTTGGTAAAAGTTTTCACCTTTTTGTAGTATTGTTTTAACGAATAAAACATATATTTATATAAAAAATAATGTCATTTCGTATTTATATTTGTATAAAAGTGAATTTTATTTTAATTATATCTTTTTTATGTTTGCATAATGAAATTGCATAATAAAATTGGATAGTAAAATCAAATTTATACAGTGATTTTCTAAATTTTATAACTTTGTTTTATGTATATATGTTTAAATATAGAATATAATAAAAGATATTAAGTGGTGTAGCAGAGGTCACGCGTTCAATTTTTAGGATTGACAACTTTTAATTTTATTTTACGAAAAAAAACACGAAAATCGATCTCTAAAATCAGTCACTAAATTCAATCACAAATTCGATCATTATATTTCGGTCACTAAATTTATCACAAAAGCTTAGCGACTAGTACTTTTACAACCAAAAAGTGATAGTAAATAAATTGGTCACAAAACGTTTTAGTGACCAATTTTATAGCTTTTTCGATCTCTAATTCGACCACTAAAAACGAATTTTCTAATACTATATCAATGTGTGGCATTTTTGTATTTTGATTAACACTAAATTAATAAAATATTATTAATTAATATTAAATATATATTAATTAATACCTAAACATAAAAAATAAAAAATAAATATTAATATTAGAATTATTATTAAAATTATTAATAGTATAAACATTAAAATTAAATTATAATTATAAAAAAAATATTAAAACATGAAATAAATAAATAAAATGATTAAAAAAAATCTAGTATACCCGCTTGACCATTGGATGACCGAGCCTTTGAAAAAAAATATGTATAGGTTCATCCAACAGATGGCCGAATGTCTGTTAAAAAGATGGCACATTGGTCAATTTTTTTTAACTTGTGACACTTTAGGATATATTTTTCATAAAAATGGCATTTATAAAAATGGCATTTTTGTATGAAAATCTCTAGAAGAAGATGTAATTTTTATGATTGGTATAAGTGTTCTATAAATTTTCTTAAACAGGATACTCATGTAAATTAGGGAGAGGTTGAAAGTAAATTAGGGTTCTATTATCTTTACTCTCTAGAATACACATGGACCTTTTTTCTTAAAAGATAAAAAAAAAAAAAACTTATTTCTGCGATTGTGATGTGACAGGTGGATACATGCATGCCGCACCTGCACTATATGTTGCACCTTTAATACTCCATCCATAACTGAACAAGATGGTCCAGAAAAACAAATGGAAACAAAGAAAGAATCATAAATTAAAATAACTTATTATTCATTTTTAAGAAACTCATGCAAACATAGTGGTTAAAAGAGTACTCCTTTGGGTATAAGCCAACATATACATAAAAATGGTCAAACAGTAACCATCTTAAAAAATGAAACAAAAAAAGCACTGTCCAAATGGTTCTCTTATAGAGGTTTAAACTTTGGAGTACTTTATTTTTCTTATAACATAAAATATTTAATAGTAATTTTTTTTACATGCAATTATTAATATTATAGTAGTTGGTGGTTTGTTAGGAGAGGAGGAAATGTCAGTAGGAATCAATAATTACAACAATAAAAGGAACATGTTCTACTATATATATATATATATATATATATATATATATATATATATATATATATATATATATATATATATATATATATATATATAATGAATGCAAAAATCAGAAAAATAGCAATAAATTCATAACAAGAATTGAAAGGGAAAGAGATAAAATGTAGTAGGATTTTAAACATTGGTGAGAAGCTGAGGTTAGGAAATAAGATGATGAACCTCATGAATTTTTTCACAGATTTAGGTGAAGCATACAAAAACCAAATGCTACCATATATATATATATATATATATATATATATATATATATATATATATATATATTAGATCAGTAGAATCCATTAGACTTTTCATGAGTTCCTTCAGCATGATCCAACTTTGCTTGTTGCTTCCCAAAGTGAATATGAGGGAAATGTGCCCACTGCATGCATATAAACAAGGTGTAAGATCACTTGTAAAGTTTTAAAACTATATGCTTGAATTTGAAAAGCACACATATATACTCTGTATTTAAAAAAAATATGTAGAATAATTATAAATATTAACTAAGTCTTATTTTCTGTTAATTAGTGGATATATATATATATATATATATATATATATATATATATATATATATATATATATATATATATATATAAATTTTAGCCTTTTTTTTCTTTCTAATTTTGCAATTAAAAGAGAGAAGGAGGTGTTAACTTATGGAAATGTAATATCTCAAGAGTGTTAACTTAGGTAATTCTTCTTGGGTGGTTAAACCTTCCCTTTTCCCCTTGAGAAAAAACTATAGGTCGGTCTCCTAGTATATTCTAGTTGTGGTTTTATATGTAGGTGGCATTGGGTCTCTTTCGTCCATTTAGCTTGTTTTGGTTTTTTATTCTCCAAATTTTCTCTACTGATTTAGGAGGCTCTTCTTTTTGCTTTATGTTGTCCCTATTCTTCTTCTCTTTAGTAGTGACATAATGGTGGGAACTACCCTCTATACGTCTTTTATGAAAAGTTATTTCTTTTTTAGGAGCAGAAGTCTCAAGTGGTGGGATCTTTAGGTTTTTGGGTCAAGGATGTTTGAGTTCAAAGTTTTAGGTGGAGGTAGACTTTTCTAATTTGGGAGGAGGAGATTTTTGAGGGTTTGTTCGATTTTAATTCAAAGGTGGTTAGGCGTGACCGTGACCGAGAAGATGTTTGGGTGTGGAAGCTATATCCGACTAGGATTTCTCGGCTAGTTCAGCTTATAGTAACCTTTTGGATTTGTCCGAGTCAAAGAAGATAGGTCTCTGATGGTTTTGCGCGATCTTGTGAGAAATTGGAGGAGTTGGGTGTCGATTGTCTTCTCTTAGCAGCTTATTCAAAATAAAATGTCAACTAAGTAGAATCTTTTGAGGCGCCAAGTTGTGTCCGACTCTAGAAATGCAAATTATGTTGTATGAGTGGGGTAGGTAGAGTCGGATGATCATCTCTTTCTTTTGTGTGTGGTTTCTTCGACCATCTTATGTATAGAGTTTTTAGGCAGGTGGACAGCAGGGCTTCTACGACCCTCAATTTTAGAGTGTTTGAGCTATTTCAAGGTTTTAGTCATGAAAAACAGTTGTCTCCACACTTGCTTTCGATGTGACATATGATGTTCTAGACAATTTAGATAATGTGAAATAAATTTTTTTTGTTGCTAGGAAGTTCTTCAATGAATTATTGGGTGTTTGTGATTAATTATTAGCTTTTCATAAAAGTAGGTTCATGTTCAAACTATGAGTTTATGCGTTTCTCGAGTTGATTGGGAGTGAGAGCCGCTCAAGTGACTTGATATTTAGGAGTATTCTAGATGACTAGTTGTCCTTCTTTGTGTTGTGTTTGTGTGCATGTGATTGTGTTTGTCTTTCTCTAATTTACTCTCTAAAAAGAACGGTTTCTGTAATGCATCAAGTTATTTTTTTAGATAAGTGATATAATCGGCTAGTGTTATTCTTTATATATTTTTTTTTTATTTTCGTGTTGTTTTTCATTCTGAATTTAAATCAAACTTTTTTTTCCTCGTATATTTGATATTCCTTGATATTTTATTTTTCTTACGACTGTTATTTAATTTTTAGTAATATTTGGTTTCCGCTTTTCTATTTAAAAAATACATAAAATATTTTTTATAGAAGATCCTTAAATATTCTTGTAAGATAAATTTCTTTGTATAAATATTCTACTGAAAATTGTGCAAGTCTACCTTTGTACATTTTGTTAAGGTCCAGATTTAAAGCACTCTCAATTTCATGAAGGCACTAAAAATATGCGGATTATCCATGTTAAATTAAGACTAGTCTATATAAACTTCTAAGAACTTAATTCTATAATTTAGTGCGATTCATAGTATAATTTAATTTCATTGGAGAAGTCTTTCATAGGGTTGATGTTCCTAATTATTGTCGTTTTTCTTAATCTCTTCATTGGATTAGGTTTTTACTATTTTAAAAAAAAAAAAAAATTATAACTTATTGTGTTTTGTCATTCTTGCTTAACTTTGGCTCACTCTCAGTTTAGCTCAAATAAAAGAAGTAATTAACGTTAAACGCACATTTTTTGCCGCTGAGCTGAAAGCCTCCCTGTGACTAATATCTGGATTATTGGTCTTGATCCTTTGAATTTCCTCCCTGTAAATAAGAAAATAGGAAAAAAAATCTGATTTGTTTTTGGTGAGCAATAGAATATTAAATTAGATTTGTTAAAATATTAAATTAAATTAAATTTAATATTTAAATATAATTTAAATTGTATAGATTTAAGTCCAATTAGAGTTGTATATAAATAGTCCTAGTATGTATTATTATTTGTACAATTTAATAATATAAATTTTTATTTTGTTTATTATTCTCTCCTCACTAAAAGTGTCTCACGCACTAACAAATTGGTATTCAGAGCTTTCGGTTATTGTTCTTGATCGAGTTTTCAAGAATTTCACGTCAGAGATCGTGTTTCTAGAACAAGTGAATCAACCGCTGCAAAGATGAATAGTGATAAGAACATTCTGAATTCTCTTTCAATGCTTGACGGCAAGAATTGGATTCGATAGAAAAAAAGATGCAATCCTTGTTTGGCTTCCATGAAAACCTAGAAGTGGTTACTGACGACGTTCCTACGTTGGCTGCAAATACAACCGACGAACAGAAAAAATCTCACAATAAAGTTAAGAAAAAAAGATTGCAAGGCTGCTTATTGCATTCAAACAACGGTCGATGCTGCTAATTTCGATAGAATCTCTCATGCTGAAACGGCCAATGAGACATGAGATATTCTGGTAAATTATTACGAAGGAGGTGAGAAAGTCAAGGTTGTCAAATTAAAAACATTTCGTCGATAATATGAGTTGTTGTCGATGAGAGAAGATAAAAAGTTACAGAATATGTGTCGAAGGTTCAAAAACTCGTTCATCCCATGAAGGATTGTGAGGAAACCATAACTGATAAGATGATAGTTGAGAATGTAATGAGAACGCTGACCTCTCACTTTGATCACGTTATCGTAGCTATTCAAGAATCCAACAATCTTGAAACCACTAAAGTGGAAGATTTGGTTGGTTCGTTGGAGGCGCATGAGATGTGGATTGTCGAAAAGAAAAGAGTGCAAGACTCGATACAGGCTCTGCAAGCTCAGTCATGGAAAAGGGATAGTGTTCCAACAAATTTAAAGGCAAGTTCAACAAGACTTAGGGAAAGAAGTCTTGGTTGAAACCTCACAAACATCAGGTCGAAGATGGAGCTTCTGAATCCTCGAAAGGAGGAGGAGGAAACTATCGAAAGGGAAAAGAAGATAAAAAAGGTGTGCAGTGCTATAACTGTGAAAAGTGGGGTCACATAGTCAAGAATTGTTGGTACAGAAAAGACAATGGGTCGATAGGCAAGGACGAAGAAGCGAACCTTGCTCGTCAAGATTCAGATGATTCTGAAGGTGGTATGGTGGTTATGACTGCAGTTGTAGATAACCATGTCGAATCCAAAATCTGGTTTCTCGACTCAGGTTGCTCGAACCACATGACTGATCGAAAGGAGTGGTTGGAAGATTTCGACGTCAAAGAAGAGCAAGGTAAAACTTGCTGATAGTAGTTCATTACAAGTAGAAGGTATAGGAAATATAGTCTTTCAAATGAGCAATGGAGGAAAAGCTATAATCAAAGATGTGCTTTATGTGCCTGGAATAAAGTGCAATTTGCTAAGTGTTGGACAACTAGTCGAAAAAGATTTCTCAGTTGTCATGAAAGATGGTGTTTTGAAATTGTTCGACACCAAGAATAATTTGGTCTTAAAATCTCCGTTGTTGAAGAACAGGACATTTAAGACTATGATCAGTTCGACTGAAGTTCAATGTTTGAAAATTGTTGTTGACCACAATGTCGATGAAGAAACTGATGAAGAATAGGTCGAAGGAATTATTGAGAATTCAGTCAAAGTCGAAGAAGAAGAAATTGCTAACATTCCCGACACAGTCAAAGTCGAAGAGACTGTGGCTGAAATAAGCCAAAGAACTCAAAGAAATAGAGTTCTTCCAACAAGACTTCATGATTATGAAGTAGTGGGTGATGATGAAGTCACACCAGATGGAGAATTAGTTCTTTTTTTTACTTGCAGGTGTTGAACCAATTAACTATAGCAAAGCTTTGAAGACTAAACAGTGGAAGTTAGCTATGGTCGAAGAGTTACAGGAAATTGAAAGAAATAACGCATGAGAGTTAGTCGAATTGCCATCACATATAAAAGATATCGAAGTAAAGTGTGTATTCAAGTTAAAACATAATGGTGATGGCTCGATAGCAAGACATAAAGCAAGATTAGTAGCTTGAGAGTTTCTTCAAAGAGAAGGAATCGACTACTCTGAAGTATTTGCTCCAGTAGCAAGATTAGAGACTGTTCGACTAGTGATAGCATTGGCATGCAACCAAGGCTGGTCGACATTTCATTTAGATGTGAAATCAACATTTATGAATGATCCTTTAGACGAAGAGGTCTATGTCACACAACTTCCAGGGTTTGTTATTCATAAGGAATCGAGTAAAGTATATAAGTTGCACAAAGCGCTCTATGGCCTCAAGCAGGCACCTAGGGCATGGAACAAGAAGATCGACTCATACTTAGTCGAATTAGGATTTCTCAAATGCAAATTTGAGTATGATGTTTATGTTCAGGTTGTAGCATAAGCTATAACAATCATCTGCTTATATGTCGATGACTTGCTAGTAACTGGAAATAGCTTGGAGAACTTGTCAAAGTTCAAAGAGCTGATGATGAAGGAATTTGAAATGTCTGATCTGGGAAAATCGTCTTATTTTTTAGGTATGGAATTTCAAATGTCGAAGCAAGGTATGGTGCTAAATTAAAGGAAGTATGCCAAAGAAATACTCAATAGATTCAGAATGGATGATTCAAATCCTGCATCCTCACCTGTCGAACCAAATGCAGAATTAGAGAAGAATGGAGAGGAAGACAAAGTCAATGTAACTTTGTTCAAGCAAATTGTGGGATCTCTGAGGTATGTCTGCAACAGTCGAACTGATATAGATTTCGCTGTAGGATTAGTAAGCAAATATATGAGTGAACCAAAAGTGTCACATATGAAGGCTGTAAGAAGAATCCTGAGATATTTGAAGGGTTCGATAAACTGTGAAATATTATTTCAACGAGATTCTGAAGACAAAGAAGCAATAGTTAACTATTTTTCAGATACTGATTGGTGTGGAGATAAGGAAGATCAAAGAAGCACAATTGGATATTTCTTTCAAGTATTTGGTGCCCCAATCTCATGGTGTTCGAAGAAATAACCTGTGGTGGCATTATCATCTTGTGAAGCTGAATATATAGCAGGATTCTATGCTGCATGTCAAGCAATTTGGATCAGATCTGTACTTGAAGAAATAAAGGTCGAAGTTAAGAAACCTCTTGTATTGAAAATCAACAACAAGTTAGCCATAAATTTGGCGAAGAATCCAGTTCTGCATGAAAGAAGTAAACATATTGAAGCAAGGTTTCACTTCTTGAGGAAAAAGGTAAATCGAGGTGAACTTGAAGTAAGGCATTGCTTGAGTGAAGCACAGTTGACCAACATTTGCATCAAAGGATTGAAGATTAACAAATTGCCGAGTTTGAGAAAGAAATTAGGAATAGTTCAGATTGACTATTTTTGAGGATGATCGACAATTTGAATTATGGGGATGTGTTGAAATATTAAATTAGATTTGTTAAAATATTAGATTAGATTAGATTTGATTTGATTTAACATTTAAATATAATTCAAGTTGTCTAAACCCAAGCCCAATTAAAGTTGTATATAAATAGTTCTAATCTGTATCATCATTTATACAATTCAGTAATATAAATTCTTATTTCTTCCTTATCATTTCCTTACTAAAAATGTCTCACGTACTAACAAGCAGTACCAAATAAAATAATAATAAATAAATATTACGTAAAAGCATATATGAATTTTTTGTGGAGTAATCGCTATCACCCTTTCTTTAAAAATAAAAAAAAATTAATAATAATAATAATAATAACAATAACAACAACAATAATAATAATAATAATAATAATTATTATTATTATAATAATTATAATAATAATAATAATAATAATAATAATAATAATTATTATTATTATTATTATTATTATTATAATAATTATAATTATAATAATAATAATTATTATAATTATAATAATAATAATTATTATAATAATAATAATAATTATTATTATTATTATTATTATTATTATTATTATTATTATTATTATTATTATGATAATAATAATAATAATAATAATAATAATAATAATAATAATAATAATAGAAGTCATATATGAGAAATATGATAAGTCTGATGCACCTTGATGATAGCAAAGAAGAATGAAAGATGCAAACTTAATTGAAATGGTAAACTCCAAAGATTACTTACTTAATAAACCGGTTATAAGCAGAAGGAACCCGATGTCTTTTCTCTAAAGCTGTAACATTTAGTTTGAAATATAAATTAAATATTATTGATTGTAATGAATCAAATCATTAATTTAAATTTACATTGCATATTTGTAACCAAGAAAATTTAATTTCATCACATAAATATTCATTATGCATATTCCAAAAAAAAAATCAGGTGTATTCACACTAGATAATAGATACTTCATTTTTTTTGACAGACTGGCATGGTAAGGACCATATATAATATTCTATATTATATGCTCATGGTATTTCAAATATTATGGAAATTCCTTTCATAAAAAATATGATTGAAATTTCACTTATTTATTTTGTTTGTCGAACAATTTTGTCTTCATTGTACATGTAACTTCACTTCATCAACAGAAAAATCTTTCGACCGCAAACTGTGGAGTACTACTACAAGTTTACTACTACCAATGTCAATAATTAATCAACTACTGTACAATAATAAAGTACTACATATAATAGCGTTGTTATATAATTTATATTATAATATGCATGCATGTGTTCTAGGGCATAGGATGACAGCAATGAATTAAGGATGGGTCAATTTTATCACGTAAAGTCACAATCTTGAGGGACCCATATAAATTGATGAAGAAAAAAATACCCAAATTTAGAACCTATAAATATTTATAAAAATAAATAAGAAAACAAAACATTAATTTCTATGAGGTTGGTCTCTGCTACAGCTTTTACTTACATTAATTAATTAATAACTAACTAACCTGTGCTATATGCTACTACTACTTTCATCCAGGGGGGGCCTAGTTACTAGTTTCCTCTTTGTTTATTCAAATTTAGAGCAATACAAAGTTCAACTTTTCATGCCAAAAAAGATAATGCAAAAATTAGAGTGTGAGAATACTCACGTCGAATGGGTGGAATCCTAGGTTGTTCATGTTCTACTACCTCAAATGATGCTATTTTGTTGCACTTTGAAGATGATGATCCTGTTTCTTTGATGCTTGCTTCTTCATAGATTATGTGCTGTTTCTGTGGCTTGTTAAGAAAAGATTAATTAATTTAATTGAGACAAAAGTCGTTAATTTAAAGAAAATAGAGTGTTTGTTAGGTTTACTGTTTTGAGCTAAACATTAAAAAATCAGAGTTCAAACACTAATAAATGTGAAATTAATAAGTTACTAACATACATATATTGATTTTTTTAAATATAAAACACTAAAAAACGCACAAAGTAGATTTTTAATATATTTAATAAAAATTTATTTCATTATAATAAGAAATGGAAAATAGAAAATAAATATAAAATTTTATTCAAAATAGTAAGAATTTACTTCTAATTTAATTTAATATTTTTTTTAAACGTGACGCTAAGGGTGCGTTTGTTTCAAGATTTAAAAAAATATCCCTGAAAATATGACTATGACAATGCAATATTTTCATGTTTGATTCAAGTTAAAAAATATAATTTTAAAATTTTTTTTTTTATTTTAAAGAATTTTATTTACACATAATTCTTTTGTATTTATTCTAAGAATTAAAGAATAGAAATATAAGATTCCTATTAGAATAAATTTAATCAATTATAACTTTTCACTATTATTTACGTTTACTATTATTTTTTAATTTTATAATTTTAAATAACAAATTTTATAATTATTTTATGGAATTTAAATTTCTATCAAACACTAAGTTGAACCTTGAAACAAACACACTCTAACATTGTTTATAGATCGAGGAAGGAGAAATTAACATTAATAATGACAATTATTACAGTGAACTCCATCTTTGATTTACAAAGTTTTATTTAATAAAGTAATTTAAAAAACTACGGATTGAATTTATTAAAATAGGTTATGCTTAAATTTAAAATAAATTATTACCTTTTTTAGAAATCTTTAGACAACAACTCTAGGATAGTAGTACCTTCAGGACAAGTGTTTAGCAAGACAATTATTTTTATAAAATAAAATAAATAAAAATTATTAATTAAATTAGCCTACACAATACTACTTTATATAATCAATGCAAGTAAATTTTTATAAAAATAAAAGTAAAAAGTTCAAATTCATCTTAAATTCATCAAATAAGATAATTTTGATCCATAATTCCATATATACCTGAGGAAGTTGAGGAGGAGGAAATGGTTGAATTGATGCTGCCATCATGTTAACTGATAACAAATTAGCACAATGTCCACACCTTACTGTCACTATGGCTAACAAACTGCTGTATGGAACATTAACCTACAACATAATACTACTTTAAACATTGAATCTAGCAATAAATGGTAGTAGTAAGTGAGAAAAAACAAAATGTATATATGGTTTGGCGAAAGAAGAAAGTGAGTGCAACAATGTTTTCTCATTCATTCTGAGAAAGACTACTTTTAAGGGTGTAAATGTGAGAATGTGTGTGTGTCCAGCTATAACATATTGTAACAGAAAAGTTCAGAAACTGACATAGTTGATTTAAATTTGAGTACATCTCACAAACAAGTGCGCATCACTTTATTGCTGACACTGCAAGGCAAGATGATAAAAGATAGAAATTGTATTGCACAGCACATTGTGTTAAAAGAGAGTGGTGAAAATGACTTGACTGGAACACAAATCATCAAACCATAACCACTAATATTATCATAGTGCCAACTTAGTAAAGGACAGTGTTAAGAGTGAGATTGATCATCATCATGAATCATCAAGCAGATTAATTTATTATATTTACTTCTCTTTTTTGCACTGTTAAGATCGCTCCCATTTGAGGATAACAACTTACTCAAAATATATAATTTCAATTCAATAGACATAAATTGTACAAAAATAAGGTCTTGTACTTAAGAAAGGCAACAACCATGAAAATGTGAAAAGAATTAATTGATGCTGGAAAACGATGATGAATATAATTTGGTGAGAGAAATTAAATCTTACTACTATACTATCTGCCAGAAATTAATCTCATGGATTTGTACCATATTTTATTTTATTTTTATGTGTGTTTAATGGATTTTTTTTCTCCGTTTTTACCACTGATATAGTCGAATTTGAGGGTCGGTTCTGAATCAAGTGGTTCCGGACTCTGTTACCTCTCGAGTGTGATTAATGGATTTGTTCATAAAGTAAAGAAGAAGAAAATCTGGTATTTTTTATAGATAAAACTGTATAAAAATGAGCATTTAAGATTTAAGATGGAATATACTTTTTTTTTTCTTTTTAAAACAAAAACAAAATGAAGAACCCTAATATTTGATTATGAGATTTAACCCTAATAATGACTTCAAATCTGAGTATAGATAATATAATTATGAGTTTTTGAATGCAGTTTGTTCTTAAGCATCTTAAAATTGCTTTATGTTAGCTCAAACAAGGACATGCTTTGTTCATTGAAAATCAAAATATGTGTTTAATTAATTACCATGGCATAGAGCAAAATCCAGTTCAATTTTCTCATAAAATATAAGTTATGAGTCTAAACCTTGGTATAAAATATTGAGAAATTCATTTCATGAAGGATTAATTTGATTTTTACTAAGGGAAATACACAAATTAGGTAAATTAACTCTTGGTTTTCTTCCATGACTAACTAAACTCAGAAAAAGCTAGATTTTCTTTGATCTCTTATATGCTCTTGATGAATGAGAATAGAGGAAAAAGAAATTGGGAAACTAGATGGTGATAGGTGAAGAAGAACATTGGAAAAATAAATGGGAAAGAGAAAGCATAAGAGAAGAGAATTGAGAGTACTATGCAATACATACCGCTAGAATGGTGTTGCAGAAGTTGCAGTGAACATAGCAAACACGTTCTGTTGCCATCATATCCATTGACATTTTTCTTTCTTTATTTCTCTCTTTCTAAATGTGTTTGTTTGTCCTTTGAGTTTTAGAGTGTGCTTAGTGGATTTATAAAGAAAGAATCACTTGGCTCAAAGACACTGATCGCCACCATATATATCAACTATTTATTTATTATTTTTTAATATTGAATAAAGTATATTCTTAAAAGATAAATAAAAAGGGTACAAATAAATGGTTATGTTTAAGGGTAGGTGTGCAAAATCACATGATATAAAAGATGCAAATTCGAATTTATGACATTTTATTTATTTATTTTTAAATTATGAAATTTCAGCTATTAAATTATCTAGATTAAATAAATAAACAAAATGAGATTGAGCTTCAAAAAAGAAAAAAGAATTAACTTTATCCCATTAATTTTCTTATAATTTTCTTTATTCCTATAAAATTATTCTCATGTTAAAAGATGAAAAGTGAATTTTTATAAAATTTTATATATATATTTTATATAATGTAATTAAAATTAAAAAAATTTCTAAGAATAATAAAATATTTTCTAAACAATTTTTTAAAAGAGTACATTAGAATAAATTTCCTACGTTTATTTTTCCGAGATAGTAATTCTAAGGACTAAATTTTGACACCGTGAAACAAACACCCCATATCATTTATTTATAAATTGTTAATTTAGAAATATCAACGACTTATTTACATTAATACACAAATATGAATAAATATTATCATTAAATAGTAAATCTTGAACTAAAACATTACGCTTATTTAACTCAACTAGCATATATCGATCGGACTACTTCACCCATCCCACAATATTATTATTATTAGCTTGTGAACTCTTTTTAGAAAACTTAATTGTGTCCGATTATATCGTTTATTAAAACAAATTTAAAAGCAATAAAAATTAATAATATAAAGTAAAGATTTTAAAATATAGATGAGCAGATAATTGATAGAAGATGTGGCAATAACCGCAACAAAGAAAACAAACAAATAGAAAAACAAGAAGAAAAATCTACAAGGTCAAAAAATAAATAATCACCACAATCCAATTCAAGAAAAACAGAATTGCATCTCAATAAAAAATTAAGCTAGAGCTCAAGTTAGCGTGACCACCAACAATCAAAGACTACCAAGAGAAGAATGAAAGAAATACTATACTTTCAGTTTAGCCATAATTTCGATCCCTTATTGTTCAATTCAAATGATAGAATTATGAAGTCACTCTAAAAATGTACGAGAGTTTTTCATGATCTACCGATATATCATTTCCAAACTAAAAAAATACTTCTCTCCTCCACATCTTTCACATTTGTTGAAGAATTAGAAAAAAAAAAACAATCTCGTTTCGGACTATCCAAATAATTAAGATCACAACATGACAAATCATAGAAAAACTCCCCCTACACTTTGTCCTGTCACCTAAAAAAGAAATTCTCAAAGAAAACTAAATACGGTTATGTGATATAATCATATAGATTTCAGTAACTTATATTAAATTCATCTACAATTGCGTACTAAAAAGTAAAATTATTAAAAAAAAATTATAAAGATTATTTTAACATGTATTTTAAAACATTTCTTAAAGAATTAAGAAAAAAACTAAAAGATAGTACAAGAAATAATGTGATATATGGTTTGACATAGGCATCACGGATCTGGTATGAAAATCGCAACAAGCTCTCATTCAATTTGGCTTTGTATTAAGAAAATGTGACCACTCACTCATTGTTTACAACCATAAAGGAGTCACATTATATGTTCTTATGTATGTTGATGACGTTTTACTTACTGACACAACTTCTTCACTTTTCATGATCTTATCAACAAGCTGCATGAAAAACTTGCTCTGAAGAAACTTGGAACTCCACAATATTTTTTTGGGATTGAAGTTTAATATCAATCAAATGGATCCATGTTACTCAAGCAATCCAAATACATCAAGGATCTTCTGCTAAAGCCAACATGCCAGGTGCAAAGGGAGTCTCCACTCTAATGTTCAGTCATTACAAGCTGAGTAAACTTGGGGAAAATATACTATTGGATCAATCCATGTATAGATCCGTTGTAGGTGAACTACAATATATGACCCTCACCCATACTTCCATCTCTTTTTATGTAAACGAAGTGTGCAAATCATGTCAGCACCTTTAGAATCTCATTGAAGCTTGGTGAAGCGTATACTTCGATATCTCCGTGGAGCAATCACACATGGATTATTGTTTTCATCTGCTTCTCATCCAAATCAATTGTCCCTACGAGCTTATAGTGATTATGAATGGTCTAGCAGTCTAGACGATAAAATATCTACATCAAGCTCATGCATATACTTTAGCATAAATCTTATGGCATGAAGTTCAAAGAAAGAATTGCTTGTAGCATGCTCAATACAAGTGCATGAATATCATGAACATTCTCTCAATACTCTGTTCACTCTCTCATGAGCTTTTTCCCTTCCATTATCATCATTCATAGATTCTCCTCTAATAGTCAATAACCATGGATTCCTAATTGGCTAATGTCATATCTCAAATTTGTCCTACCCATTAATCAAATCACTTAGCTTAGGCATCTCATTATCTTCATATGCATAGCATCCATTAGATCATCTAACACATCATGCATTCACTAACCACAAGGTTTGGCATGGGATCAAGGATATTGAGGAACTAGGGTTTCTTTATACTTTTAGGCTCTTATCTTAGGTTTATTCAACTGGGTTGTTCATCAGTCATTGGTTTGAAGCTAGAGTCTTGAGTTCATGATCATTGAGAACTTCTTTCTCTCATTAAGCTACAAGGTTGTCATCTTCATCAAGGGCAGGATCATTAGGGTTTCACTAAAGGTTTAAGTAAAGACTATGTGAGTTAGGGTCTAAGTTCAAAGTCATCTTGAATATCTTCTTCAAGGTTCCAAGGCATTGTTGTTCTATTGCTCATATAGTCGAGACATGGTACGAGGTGTGGATTGTAATCAAGGTGTCATTTTTTCAAATTGTTTGTTGCTTATCATGCAAGCTAATTTGGATTGAGGTTGGTGTGGATTTGAGAATAAAGCCAAGGTTTCGTTGATTTTTGAGATGATTCGAAATATTCATTCAAGTGATAACTTAAACGCAAAATTTGATCAAAGTTGTCAAGATTCGGTTTGTGCAAGTTTGAATGTTTTAGGTGGATTTCTTGGTATTCAAAAAACAAAGGCAGACTTCATTTTTCATCCATCCTGTGATACGGTGGAAGAACCGACTGTTTGATGCTGGTTTGCGTTTTGCATTTTTGTGTTCACAAAATGTTGCGGTAAGCAAGAGTCGCCACCGACTTTTATTTCATCCAACCGGAAAGGAAAAAAGTACAGAAAAAATCCTTTTTCGAGATATTCTGAGTACGGGGGGTAGATTATAGAAAGGGAAGGTGTTAACACCCTTTCTACCCATGGTTTTCCATGGGTTCTTAGGTACTTGCTCATCTTTTTAAAATTGCTTGTGTATGTGCTTTGTTTTTTTTAAAAGTTTGACTTCGTGATAACCCTTGTATCAGTCCTCAAAGGTGTGACGAAGTTGTCTTGAAAATTGTTTTGAAATGTGTAAGTGTGAAAAGTTTTGATTTGAGCAAGTACCTACTAGCATCTACCTACTCGAAAAAAGATTGTTTCTATTCTCGTTTCCTTTGGACAGCGCTATCCCACTATTGAGAAATAGGTAGCAACGTCGTTGGAGTTGTAAGGGTCAATTCGAAAGGGACGCACGATCACTAAAGCAATATTATGATACCTTAGTAATAACCCTAGAGTCTTAAAATCATATTCGAGGCAACATTTTCGAGGCAACATTCGAATGGGACATTTGATCTTTTTTAGACAGGAGGGTAACCACTAAGACACCATATGCTTAATGACCGTTTACCGAAGGCAACCGAAGTGAGAGTATACTCTAAGAGTGATATGTGAGAGTGATTTGTTTTCAGTTATTTAATCTTTGCACATTATGCTTTTCTAACCGTATTAATTTGTCATGCATTCTTGTCATTCAATCCTATTAGCATACATCTAAACAGTTAAATATTTGCAGAAATTAAGAATGCGAGAAAGTAAATCTACGCTATTACAAGGCTTCGGGGAGGGGGATTAATTACATAGCCAAAAACCCGGGGAAAAGCGATAAGTAAAAGCCCTAAATTAAACTATTACAAACCAGTGAGCAGTTACAAAAATATTGTCAAAATAAATAATAAGCGCGCGGTGAATTAAATGTGAGACGATTAGGGTTTTGACCTTTGACTAAACCTATTTGCGATTGGTTAAATAAAAGATGTTTTTGTCATGTTTTGTTATTTGAGAAAGAAAGAAAAATTAAATCAAGAGTTATTACTGGTTAATGAGAAGGAACCTGGGTAGGTTTGCTTCATGATGAGTCCGTGTAAAACTGCATCTGGAAATGAGAAATAACATGTGTAAGGTTGCTTCAACTGGTCGTGTAGATAGTTTCCCTGGTTTGTTTCAGGTATTGATCTTCAATCATTCGTCCACGGATAGTTGTCCTGTCTTGTTAAATGTATTAATCTGGAACTGTTGGAGATTATTAACAATAGTTATCTGCTGTTTGATCTTTCCTGAAAAGGTAAAGAGTCAGTTGCATGCAATATCATGATGTATGAAATGCATGGCATAATGATGTTTCTCAAAATAAATGAGATTGTACTGTATGCATTTATCATGTATGTAGATATGATGCATGAAATGTTGTCGGAGTGTAATTTTGTCTTGGAAAATAAATCCTTGACAGATGCTGGGGAGCCTTGGGAAGTTGAAACCTGGATGGCCGTTGGGGATGAAAGGTATGCACACTTTTCCAGACTTTACTTTTTTAGAATGTTTCCACAGGGGAGTCCTGTTTTGTTGTTTGAGGAGAACTCCGTTGAGAAAGAAAACTCTGTGGAGAGTGTAGATTCTTGCTTGGGGAAAGGAGTTCAGGAGTCTTCGTTGTTCGTTGCTCTACTGGAGAGCTACTAGGGATTGTAGGA